CGGGGGATCTAGTAACCAAAAAAAAAAGTAAAAGTTAATTTTACTTTCCAGTTAAATGATTCGTCCAGTCTTCATATAGCCTAGACGTACCGTAGATAACTACCTTCCTTAGATATCCTTCTAACTTCTTCATGAGCCCAGGATCAAGGGTGCTTGCGAAGGCAAGTAAGGATAGAGTTGTTACGTTGCCAAGGGACCAGCCCAACAATGAAATCCCTCCGCTGGCCCTACCTGCATCGTTAGATCGCGGAGGGATCTTTTCATTATCAATGAACCAGGAAAGAAACCGCGCCATTTCTGCCCCTCGTTGCTGTAGAAAAGTCGCATAATGAGCTGACAGTATACGCTCCGAGCGAGAGACTGCGGAAGCCGTCTCTTCCTCGCCGCTGAAAGCCGAGGGATCAATAGGAGATGTTTCCTCGTTGCTGAATGGGGTAGACCCGTGATAGCCTCTTCGGTTCAGAAGAACTAATCGTATATGACTGGCCTTTGCGAGAGGAACGAGACGATTGAAAATATCTATTGAGTAACGGTCAAACAACCACCCGAAATTTAACCATGTCGAGGAAATCCTCACGGCCGTTGAATCCAAAGCCGTGCACCGCCACCAGGGTGGTATATGCCTTGTCGTCCAGCAAAGGCACACCGCTGTCTTGATAGAAAAACTGAGTGTGCACGTCGTCGATCTGGGCCACGGGCATGTTTAAAATGCAGCTGATCAACGAGACTAGAAATGGACGTTGGACTCGGCTGTAAACGGAATATTCGTAGAATCAGCAGAGCTTGAAGCAGGTCACACGGAAGAAGCGAGGGTTGTGGGTGTCAAACACCGTATTGTCACGTTGAAAGTTACTAACCTGATCCGGATCTGTTTCAGCTTGTCGACTGTGACTCGCAACCTCCCAAATCTTTGGAGTACCGGTACTGCGCCATTTGAGATGTAACTACTTTGGCTCTAATATGCGAGCACCATGTCTCAAGATCCTCCACGGAGCTGCTTCTTTCACGCAATTTGCCGTGGACACCCTTGAAAAGGCGACCTTGATTGGATCGGTCTCTACAGTTCAGCTTGTCTGGAATTCTAGTCCACCAACTCTAATAAATATATTCCCACCTCTCGCCCTTCTAAAGCGCAGGTCATATTTCTGGCTGCCTTCTTGACATAGCTAGCTCTATAGTCACCGGGAGTGCATAATTTAATCGGAAGAACCCAGTGAGCTCAACTCCCCATGGACACACCATCGCCAGTTCTGGATTGTTTTGCTCGCCCTTTCGCACCCCCTCGACCCTCGCTCCCACAAGATGCTCGCGTCGCCTTAACCGTGCACTCGTGCGAATCGCTCGTCCCGTTCTTGATATAACTAACAGCAATCCTATGACATTTTCCGGATGATCATTGACACTCACCTCTAGTCCTCTCAAGATGGGCGACGCGCTTGCTTTGACCATGGGCGTAGCCCTCTTGGGCACCTTGATATCCGCTGTTCTGTATGGAATCACAATCACCCAGACTTATCTGTATTTCCAGAGATTTCCGAGAGACCACTATTACATCAAAACCATGGCAAGACCGCTTTCTTTTGGATCTATCATCTACCTCTGCTCACATGTTTATCCCAAAGGTCGTGGCACTATGGTATGTACTCCCCTGTTTTCTCGCAGCAAATACAAACCAGTCCCAGGGTTCTGGATACGCTTCACTTATCACTCATTTCACATTCAATGTATTACTACCTTGTAAGCCAGTTTAAAAATTCCGTTTCCTCCCCATGAATTTCAGCAGGTCAGTAACTTCAACAACCCCGCTGCCCTCGCGTCAACTGTCTGGCAAGTCCTCAGACTACTAAGCAATGGAGTGCCTCTGATGTTCCATTTGACACATATATAGGAGCTTTAACGTGTGTTGTCTCCCCGCCAGTGAAACGAATTCGCTCGATTGATCCAACTATATTAGCTCGAGGTTTCCGTTAATGTAGGTTGACGCTCTCTCACCCGAACTACCTGAGTCACACCTGATGCAGGGAGTCATTGGTCTTATTGTGGAATGGTACGTTATGTGTGCTGCTGAGGCTCAGACTTACACGAGCAGTAGTTTCTTCGCACGCCGGCTGTTACGTCGTAATTGAATATTTATACCTGCTTTAACCTCAGATCAATTTACTTCTTTTTAGTGAGCGGTGGGGGCTGGGTAGGCCAGGGCCTGACGACTGTCGTCGTAATTTTGTCATTAATTCATTTCGGTAAGCATCATTGTCCCATGTCAGAAAATAGCGTGAACCAAAGCTACATCTAGGGCTCGGCATATGTAAGTCTAGTCAGCATTCTGCCGATATAAAGTTGACACTGCCGACCTTATAGTTTTCACTGATCGATTGTGAGTTGCCGCTGCATATCATCACAAGAAAGCAATTGCGAGCCTTCGAGTTTCTTTTCAGATACGCAATAGCTTTCTTTGCGGGCCTGCCCCAACTTACAGCAAGTTTCCCAAGCGCGAAGTATTTTAACACAAACTGAACCGCTCCTCTAGTGGATAACCAAAATTGGCTTGGGAAGTGCCGCTGGTTGCGATATGCTCATTTCGGTGTCACTGTGCGTTTCCATTGGGATATAAAACAGCATGAAGTTTACTATGATCAATCAGTTGTTGGTATCTTTACAACGCGCGTACCGGATATCGCAAGTGAGTTGCTCTTTCTTGGATCTTCAAACTGATTCCCCTAGCATGTTCTAACGAGCACAACAATAGGACCGACTCCCTTATTGTGACGCTTATGTTGTATACATTCAACTGCGGTCTCCTGACAGGGTATTTTTAATCACTATATGGGACTCTGGAAGTATTTATATTAATCCGTCTTGACAGCGTCTGTGCCGCAATGGTGGTTATTATGGTGAGTGTAATAAACATGAAGCTCAAGAGCTTATTACTTATGTATGCTTCGATGAACGACCAGTTCTCGCTCCTTCCGGACGATCTAATATTCATGGCGTTCTTTTGGATTCTTGGAAAACGTACGTTCGTCGATGCCAATAATTTCAGCTCTTGTTCTGATTATGTGTCGATCGCAGTATACTGCAATAGCTGTGTTGCGATGTTCGTTTTCGGGAATTTATATTACGTTTAAATTCCTCTCACTCGTATTCTACTAGGCTCAACAGTCGTCAGGCGCTTAGAGGAAAGCTGGGGTTCATTGACACAGATCAACCATCGAGAATCACCATCCCAAGAGCTCAACGAAGAACAATGTCTTCAACTGACCTACCCACCTTTGATCTCGTATACCCTCGCCCAGCGGTATGTCTACTAATGCACTGTTAGCTGGTTTTGACTGATGGCATGTTATCCAGAGCCCTCAGCCCGTGATAACTGTTCGAGTCGACACCACAACTGAAACTATGCGGGACCATCGAAATGACAGTACAGTTAGTAGTAATGGAATGGTGAGGCACATCTGCGCATTCTATGCATTATCTTGATTCCATTCCCAGTGGACGAAACCGGACTCGGAGACCCCTTCGCATACGAGCCGAATTGCTCGGGAAGATCTTGAGATAGGAGAGTACAAAGCGTCGAGTCCATCATCGACTGTCCCGCTCATGCGTGAGAGTATGCGGGATCCGTGGACTCAGACGAGTTCTAGATACATTTGACAATAACAGACTTTGGACGTACTAGTTCTGTACATGTCCAGGCCTTTAATGAAATAATGGGTAGTCAGTTGAGTCCGCGCAAGGTGCAGATGGTATTAATACTGGAGGGGTTGCCCTTCAAACAGGAAATATTGGGATCTTCCTTCTCAAAAAAAACTTATAACAGTGTGTAGCGTATAGACTGTCGATTTCAATCTGCGGGTTTCTGTGATACCAGGAATTCGGCAATGTCATCTGCTAGAATCTTGTGCACAGCCGAGGTGGGGTGTAAATGATCCATCCAAATACCACCCATCCATTTCTTTAAATCTTCCGGCTCGAAGCCATGCCCCACTGGATCATCAAGAATCCGTGTGAAAGTATTCCATGAAGAAAATACGAGAGTTGTAGCGTCAGGATGAGATGACCCAAAATCGGAGGAGTGGAGTATTTCATTCCATGCTTCGTACTTGTTCGGTTTTTCTGAATTGGACAAACCTAGAGTGTTGTTCAGCCAGGCATGCAATTTACGGAGCACCATTCCCTTCGAACCTACAGGCGTTCGGTGAATTGGCGGCATGTCGATGAGCAAAAAATTGCGTGCTCCGGATTCGTATAACCGTTCCTGCAGATGAAAGATGTTACCGATGGCAGAACTGGCGTCCATCTCCCTAATGAGTGAAGGAATCAGCTTAGACTGGCCCGAAACTGCAAGCGTGTGTTAGACATACGCGGCACAATCATTAATACCAATCCAGGTGACTAGGATACTATCACTGAAAACAAATCAAAGGTGAATATGGAGACCTCTAACCAAAAAGAGAATTCTCTTTAGTCCATGGTGCATATTCGGGCTTGTCCCCAAGTTGCGGCAGGAAGTGATTTTCCAGGTGGTGATTTAGGTTCGTCGTCTTTTCTCCACCCCTAGCGTAGTCAAACGCGATTAGGGAGTATGTAGTAGCAAGATACCCAACCTGTAGACGAGCGTAAGTAACGATGAAAGTTTTCAGGTTAGATTTAAATTCCCTCTTCTTTCAAAATTTCGAAGTGGTGGACATACCCAGTTGGGACCATCTGCGAACGTATTTCCAGGGTAAGGAATACCCAGTGGTTCTAATTCTCCAGGTATATCATCTGCATCCTCGGGAGAATATCCTACGTCGCTGTAAGAATCGCCGCTGTGCTGATAATGTAAGTGGAATATATAAACAAAGCACAAAACAAACAATATAATAAGATAATCAAGGTTTGAAAAACCTTTCCAACTGCTGGACATCTGAAAGATCTCGGACATCTTGGTCCAACTAAAAGTAATGTGACATGCATGGGAGGCAACACTTGCGCGCTTGTTCCAATGAAGACAAAAGATGAGGTCTTACCCGGATTCGAACCGGGGTCACGGGAAGCCAGGATTCAAAATCCCGGGGGATAACCACTACCCCATAAGACCTGCGCAAGCGAGGAATCGATATATTTATATTTGATCTATCAGCGGGTGCATATGTGGCACGTGATCATAACCGCTATTTTAGGAATCTTGAGATCTTCACCTCCAACTCTCTCAAGTTTTTTTTAGCCAATGCTCCCTTCCTCAAATTGGCTAGCCCTCAAGAAAGTAAGTTTCCCTTCAAAACCGTTCATCACTATTGGATTTCACGGGTCACAGCATTTGCCCGCACGGCCTCAAAGCGAACGACCTCAGAAGCGGCGGAAAGTGGAGACGGTTTCCGAAGGAGCTTCAGAGGAATCTACCCATATTGTTGATCGAAAAGAGACCTTGCAGACTGCGAGGTCCCCTAGGGACGGGAATCGTGACTCAGTGGTTTCCTTGCGGCAGATGGTCTATGGACATGACTCTTACTCGCCTGCTCATCTATCGTGAGTACTTAGCGTTTGCATCTGTTCTTAGCTTATACATATACAGGCCGGGAAAATTCCTTGCCATTGATTGCGAAATGGTTGGCATTGCTGGTGATACGTCGAAGAATGATTTAAGAACAAGAGACAAAGGGGATGAGTCCTCTCTCGCGCGCGTTAGTGTTGTGAATTATTTCGGCGCTGTGCAACTTGATGTACATGTTCGCCAACGGGAGCGTGTCACTGATTGGCGGACCCCAGTCAGCGGCGTCAGAGAAAGTGACATGGTTGATGGTCAGTGAATTTGAGAGGGATGGAGCTATGAACGCTGTGAACTCATATTTAAGCATATTTTAGCAAAGCCCTTTGCCGAAGTACAAAAGCTTGTATCCGACCTGCTCAAGGATAGGATTCTTGTCGGTCACGCAGTGTATAATGATCTCAAGGTTTGTATCACATTGGTTTTACACATTTTAGCTTACCTATGTATGATCACAGGTTCTATTGCTGTCGCATCCGCATAGTATGACACGGGATACCCAGGTCCTTGCAGGAAGGCATGGGACGCTATCCACGTCGAAACCCCGCGTTACTACATCCGCTATCGGCAATTCAAATGTTAAAATAGTGGTAAATCGAAGACCAGCTTTGAGGAAGCTTGTTAGCCAAGAGCTGGGGATCGATATACAGGCAGGCGAACATTCTAGCGTAAGTTATACCTGTATTTTACTCACGAGGTACTTGGACGGTTGACTAATTCACCTTTGTACAGGTGACTGATGCTCGCGCCACGATGGCAATATATAGGCTACATCGAAAGACCTGGGACCAAGGCTTCGTGCCTTTGATACGCAAGAGCGATCGAATTTCGTCAAACCCCGGACTTGATAACGCAGAAGGCGGACAGCCACAACCAACGGAGCCTTCTAAGAGTGGCAAACGCCGAGAGTCTGTAATAGAAGATGACGCTACAGATAGTTTACCCACAGAGCGTGTCAACTTCCGACCAATCAGACCTGTTAAAAGGTCAGGTATCAGCTCTGGTATATCTGTCGTTGTCAAAAAACGTAGCAGCGGCTTGGAGGCGAAGCAGATTATTACTGGTACTCGGGGAACAAAGAAGAGCTTTAATAGCGGAGGAAAGAGTAGTGCAGGCAACTGGTGGGGAACATTAGGGAAATAGATCCTTTAGGTTTGTCAGATTGTGTCTTCATATTGAGATTTTCAAGCTTTACTGGGGTGGCCGCGAGAGGTGCCTTCACTGGCACGTCAACGTCACGATGATCTATCAACAATATATGTGAAAGGGGAAAAATTCGTTGTCTTTTGGAACCGCAGCATCAATTTCTCATAGTCCCCCTTCATACGTACTTTCATGGGATGACCTATAACAGGTGGTTCAAGTATACTAATGCTCTAATGCTCTCAAGGTTCATACTCCCTGAACTCGGAGGTCGGGTCTAGGAATGCCTTTCCATGCCAATAAGAAGCATTATAATTTTTGCTCATAATTTACCTCCACAAAAACACCGCGGTATAGAAAGGTTTTTCGGGACAAGCTAACACCACTGCCCAATATTTTCTCTAAGGAGTATTTGAAGACATGTTCGAGTCACAATGTGACTGTGACAGACTGTGCCTCGAGTCAATTACAGCCGTCCTTCTTTGCGTGCCCTCCTGTTGTTGGATTATGAGAACATCAAGACAAGTCATTTCTACCTTCTCGCAATATTGATTATCTTTCAAGTAGACCCCTCGACAGTACACTCACATTCACCTTGGCAGGATGTAAAGTTTACATCACACTTGAACACAATTTGGAGTCACGGAACTTCTCATTTTGAGAGATGACAGTAAATGTATTCGTTAGAGCTTCTAGTCCGACGAAGGTAATACTAATACCCTTATTTCCTCTTAATTATTAACCTAATTTTTAATCCGTCGTTTCCGATATATCGTCCCGACACCACTTACCTCCCGGCTTACTTCATTGCCATGAGCTACTTCATCTCAAATCAATCCCACAGGCGTGTTTAGCCCTGAAATGATACTCAAGGTTTGCCGCAGGCCAAGTTTTTTATATCTAGCGCGCGTCTCAGTAGCGCTCCCCCCCAATGCTCATTTTTTGAATTCAAAATACAGTTGAAAGCCGTGTCAGCGGTATTAAGACCGTCAGGGTTAAAGTGTCTACATCAGGCCGATCCTTGTTGTCTCAGCCACGACGACGCCGCGTACGATATCAGATTAAAATATCGTATATGGTCACGAACGCTGATAATCACATCAGAACACCTTCCTTCAAAAACATGCAAGATTTTATTACGAAGGTGCCTTTTAACATGGACAAACTTAATCCAGACTTACACCTGTGTCCTTATTTCCTCTTTCATAAGACAGCGTTATAGATGTTTTCAAATCGACGCACGCAATATCTGTCTGTGCCTTGTTAGGCGTGCCATTACATGCCAGTGAATGTCTTCCAGTCGACAGCATTACGTCATTTGATCTTGTGCCAAGTAAAGTCAATTACAAGTTGTTTCCACGTCCTTCATGGCCACATACCCAACTAGGAGCCACAAGCCTGCTCTGGGGAATTCTCACGTCCGTGCCTTACATTTTGTGATTGACACGGTGGCCGTGAACTGTCGGGGACGAGGGGTGGTGTGAGGACTCATTTATCATAACCTGTATTGTAGATCTACCTGCTCGTCAGGAACTCTGCAACAGGCAAGCACAGCAACAGCCTGGATGCTTCTCTTCGAACCGCAATGCATATTCTGGTGAATGTAGCTGATTTCCATGTCGGATGGGGAGGCTGGTTTATCACCTCCGATTTGCTGGTAAGTGTGAGCCGGCAGATGTTAGAATTTCAGCGTGGTAGAGAGAATTTTGACTCTTCGACTCACAGGGCTGTCCTGACAAAACTTCCTATTCCGATGATGGACCATGTAGATTCTTCCGGCGTGCCACTTTGCAAGCTCACTGAGTAGCGTTGTGGTCGAGCCGAGGTCACCGTCCTCGGGGCCATACGAAGTTGATCTGAAATATTACGACCTCTAGCATCGGAAAACTGGGTTATAACAAGATGTCTCTCGCTAATTGCCTCGAGGTCGAGTAGCAGTTAAAGGTGTGTTTGAAAATTATTACTAAGAAGGATGTATGCGCATTGACCGTGGAATATGCATCGGTTCGACGTTTTCATGGAGTCTTCGCGAACGGATTGATGCGACGAAATGCATATGCTCACTAACGAACCTTTGTCATGGAGCAACCAGTGCTTATTGCTCAATAGCAGAACTAGTGGGAAGCAGACATGATAGGGCACCTCGTGAATTACGCATACTACCGGGGCGTCACGCTCATATCGCACATTCGGGAGAAAGAAGAAAATTTGCCAAGTTAGGAAGAGTTTGTAGGAACCATCCATCTTATCGTGAATGCTGGGTTAGAGTTCGGCTCAGGAGTCGCCGTCTTGAACCTCATGTTAAGCGCTTCGATGGAAAATGAGCTGTGTATCTTACCCTCATGTTGCTGTGCTGTGCGAACAAAGGTTAAATGCTTGGAAGGGCACAAAGGCTGGTTACGAGAGCCAAAGAAGGCTTGTTTATGTTCCCATCTAGTTATGTAATCCGACGCAACGGTGAAGTTTTTTAAGTTACTCTTGACTACATTCAATCCATACACACAGTCAACCTTAGATCATTCACAACTCGCCTACGTAGAATATTCACTAGCTTTCTACTAGATTTGTGAGTCCATTCGCTTTCAAGTTCTCAATGACCGATTAATAGAGGGGGGGAACGTGCCTCCTACATACTCCTCGGACTATGATGGCCGTTTGCGCTATGTATCGGCATCGAGTTCTATCGATCTTTCCATGGCTAATCCCCATAAATAGCAGCAAGGTCGCACAATCTTTGCATCGCCTTTCCTTCCTCTTTGCATCCAAGCAAACAGGTACCGACCATGTTCTTCTTTTTGACCCTTACTGACCGCTCGTCTTTGGTTCTTCTAGTTTTCAACGAGAATAAAGCGTCCCCTCGCTCTCGTGCATGTACTCCAATCAACTCAGTAGCTCCCATAATCGTCACCGAGGAAACAAGCACTCCAGTCCGGCACCCATACCCCTCTGAGTTAAAATTCTCTTATGGCACCTGTCGCAACTAATCCTGTATATACACCTACCTCGGGTTTCAACACTCCCGAATCCCAACTCGATGGGCCTGTACATTCCCCTCCCATCCATCCCACTGCTGCGCGTCGACCTTATTCTATCGTCGTCAACTCTAAGAATACGACATATTCCGATAATTTCATCACTGCCAAATACGAGAACCGTGGTGCCAATGTTGTCACCTCTGCCGATGGTCAGGTCAACATTGTTCCGACCGTAAAATCCTATGAGTTTAGGACTGCTAGAAATGTTCAAAAGACCGGGTATGTGCTAGTCATATTTCCGGTGGTATACATGCTTGACAGCATGGGTTTTTGATACAGACTGATGATGGTCGGTATGGGGGGCAACAATGGCACTACCCTAAGTGCTACTATCCTGGCTAACCGTCATAACATCTCTTGGGGAACAAAGTCTGG